GCTACAAAACCATCTCTCATAGACCAATATTGTTTTTGTGTAAAACCTTATAGCATAAACATAGAAACTTGACGTTTTTATGGAGAGTAGAACTCCGTCGACTATGTGTATTTCCTAAAAATATCAACTCTCTAGCTCCATCAGTTGTCAAAAAATGTCTCTGAAATTAAAAAAAATGTTTGTGCAATATCTGAGTCTTTCATTTATACATATTTAGATTTACGTAATCATATGAAATCTAATAAAATATTTTCATGAATTTTAAATGTATTTATTGTTTAGATGAAACTTTAACTCATACCTTGAAAGACCAAATTTCATCACTTGTTATCGACAGTAGTACAAATGAAATCCAATGTTTACCAGCAGATAATAATACAATTATGTTTACATATATCTTTACTACGTTTACTAATTTACAATTTTTAAATTTTAGTGCATCGTTATTGTATCATCAACGATTATTATTTTCCACTTCACCTCTAACTATTATCTCTACAAATCTATTAAAATTACATATCTATTTGACGACTTTTAGTGATTGTCTTTATTTACTTGATGGTCGTTTCAATCAACTTCATACGCTTTCTGATAATATTTCTTTCATTGTCTCTTCAAGTCTAACAATCAATAATACGGTAGATTATTATTTTTTTTGAAATATCTAATTTAGTTGAATTAATAATATTGTTTTTCATTTCTAGGAAAAACTACCTACTTTAAAATGCTTTTCTCTGCAGTGCAATATTAAAACATGTGATTATGATGAATTAATTTTACCACTTCTACATCGAATGCTCTATTTAGAAAAACTTAATTTGTGTATGATAGTTAAGTAGAAGAAAAACATTTTTTGATGGTAATGATTTGAAGATAAATATTATTAATCATATGTCACGATTAAACAAATTCACGTTTAATATTCATTCATCAAGTTGTTTTTATGATCAAATTAATTTATCGTCGAATGAAGATACTCAAAAGACATTTAGAGATTTTAACAACAAAATTGTCTATGGTGTTGATTATTTTCCAAAGGCAAATTATGGTCAATGTCATATTTATTCATATCCATATAAACTGAACTATTACGATAATATAACAAATAATTTTCCAGATGGAATATTTACATGCGTTCGTAAAATGTCACTATTTGACGAACATCCTTTTGAACATGAATTTTTTCTTCGACTTGCTCAATCATTTCCATTGATAGAAGAGTTAACTGTAAATAATCAAAGAAACGACAAATTAATAAACGATTTAGAAAGTCAAAGAATGATCATCAAGATTTACCAATCATTAAATATCCTTATCTTAAAGAGCTTAATCTTACTAATACTTGCAAAGATTATTATGAACAGTTCTTACTCGATACCAAAACGTGTTTACCAGTTGGCATTAGTATTTATATGGATTAGAAACTAGTGA